GAGAAATAGTTACTATTTTAAAAAAAAATCAAACTTTTTTATATATACTAGTACGAATCCCGTGCGATGCGTTATCATCATTGCCTAACCCTTGATCGGAAAAGTGTCCCCCAACGGCAAGAGTAAGAAAAATCATTGATACTTATAAATTAAAGATTCTTATCAAATGATAATAATAATAATAATAATAATAAATTAAAATATGATATCAATATGAAATGTTCACCTCCTCCCTATATTAATTTATTTCAAATATTAAATGAAAGATAATTTGTGCAAAATTACATAAAACACGTCTACTGAAATTATTACACAACTCATACGGTAATTTTTTTTTCTTGGATACTAAATTAAATTTAAGATTTATGAATTTTGTGACTGAATGATTTGTAAAGTGAAACGTTATATTTTTTAAAATTCATGTAAAACTGAGATAATATATATAGTCATGTACAAATTCGATTACCACACAGACAAATAGAGAACATAAAATTGTATTTTACCTATCTTAATCATGTATATAGAAATAGAATTAAAATTTACATTAACCATGACCTAAAATGACATACTTTTATTATTTACAATAATTTTGTTGTTCACTTTAAAATTACAATTATATTTGGATAGATTTTGTTGATAATATATAGAAATTAAGCAGATTTAATTTCTCTTATCCCCTCTATATATAATTTCAGAACTTGTTGAGTCTAAGTGGCAAGTTCGCACGCTTTGGATGTTGACATATTAAAATGGTGTGCTTCGTAATTCGGTTTGTATAAATAGTATTGCTTTTAATTTATGTTTGGTACTTCACATAAATAGTTTATTTCCAATTTTAGTAATTATGCCTTTATTTTTGTCATTGTTTCTCTTTCTCAAAATCAAATCTCACTATAGAAAATTTATATTATTTATTCTAGTTATTTTATTAATTAACTACCATAATTTATTATATTCATACTTTAAATGGTAATAAATTTTTTATATGTAGCCCCTTTTTTGGATATGATTTATCAAATTAATTATTTTTTGGCAATTTTTTATTTTACATCTCTATTACATATAGAAATTTAAAACTAATTCCAACTATCTTTATAAATAAAAATTAAACTTATTATCAATCTAAATTAAAAAATACACATACAAATGGAATTATATATTATCTTAGTAACAAATAATTATATAAATATACCCAAAAATATTTTTTATAGTCTTAAGAAAAAAATATGCAAATATTAAGCATAACTATAGAATAAAAAAAGTACATAATTTTTTTTTTTAAAAAAAAAAGTCACTAAGGAGATATCACAATCTAGTTGTACTTAACAATTATTTATTAATATTTGCCCATATAGTTATACTTAAATATATGGAATAAATAATTTGCTCATGTAGTAGCCTAGTTATACTTAATAATTTGTAACATTTGCCTATATAGAATCACATCAGTTGCATTTTTATTGTGTAAAAAGTCATATTAAATAAACAATTTAGAAAAAAATATAAGATAAATTTAATTCAAAAATATACCCAAAAATATTAAATTTATATGTATTAAATTTATTAATCCTGTAAAATTAATTTAGATGTATTTTTTATATAAATATACCCAAAAATATTTTTTTTTATAGTCTTAAGAAAAAAATATGTAAATATTAAGCGTAACTATAGAATGAAAAAAGTCTATAATTTAAAACTAAGGAGAAATTGCAATCTAGTTATACTTAACAATTGTTTATTAACATTCGCCCATATAGTTATACTCATATATATGTAATAAATAATTTGCTCATGCAGTAGCCTAGTTATACTTAACAATTTGTAACATTTGCGCATATAGAATTCACATCAGTTGCATTTTTATTGTGTAAAAAGTCATAATAAATAAACAATTTAGAAAAAACTATAAGATAAATTTAATTCATAATTTTTTTAACTAAAGATTACATAATATAGAATAAATAATTTGAATTAGATAAGTTAAACAGCTTAAAAGTTTATTTCTTTTTAATTGTGGATATTTATTAGTTTTATTTAAATATATGATCATTACGCAAATCAAATGATACACTTTGTTCTTAAAGTTAGTGTTTTAGGAAATGTGTATCTTGAGATATTAGATACTTATATATGTAATTAGTATTACCATAATAAATCAATCGCATTTACCTAAATAGTACTTTTAAAACATACAATAAAATGTTTAAATTATTTCCAAATTTAGTAAACAACATTTTGTTGGCAGGAAATAGTTACTATTTAAAAAATAATCAAACATTTATATGTATATATATATATATATGTATAAAAAATGATTAGCTTGTTCTCGGTGGTGCACTTTGGTTTTTAAAATTATTATTTTAATAAAAAAGTACGTGAGTTTTTGCATAAGTTGTAATTATTTGTATTTAACTGGAAGAATAGGAAGAGAATCTTATATGCATACCTCGGGAAAATTGCCAGTACACGCAAGGCGAACAATTCTGCAATTTGCCATCCAACAAATTAGAAAAATTTCAAGAATGTAATATGAAAAGAATCAATTTTGATGACAATTAAAATGTGATTTTTTTAAAAAAAAAAAAAAAACTAACAACATAATTCTTAAAAAAATTGGGCAAAAGAACATATGTAGATTTTAGTTTTCTTATTCACCATATATTTTTTGCTACAACAAAATATTGCACTGTATCACTACAACCACAAAGAAAAACAATAAGTCCAGTTAAATTTTAAATTAATTTAGACAAATCGATATCTACAAAACCAAAAAATTCAGAGATTGTGTGGTTAATAAATTGATTTACAAAGGACATTTAACGATACCAATTTTGTAAGTTGATCAAAACAAAGTAAAAAATTCAATAAACATTTTTTTCTTATTATTATGATGGTGCACATTCGAATAGAGTATCTACCGTTGCCTCCTCATATGCACTATAGGTGAAGCTTATGACAATAATTAAAGCAAACTGACAATCGATAAAGATTCTAATTCATTGTCGGGTGATGTCTTGACTGCCGCCTCTTAAGAACCATCTTGTCCGAAAACAGGCACCAAAGCGAGCAAATTTTCTCCCCCACCTGTTTGAGAAACCTGGCCGGTCATTGGTTCATGCGTGGCTAATCCCGATCCTTGGCCTAAGCTTTCATGAATTTATTTTTACTATTGCCCGTTTAGAATTTATTCTCGTTAAAATACAATATACAAATGAAAATATATAAATAACATTTTTAAAATAAGAAGCACAAAACAACAGAATGTTTCAGTTTTCAAAATATATTATCCTTTAAAGGAAAAGAGAAAGAAACAACTAAGACATCATAAAAATATGTATGACGAAGACAAAAATAGTTGTGCCTGTATATCAAAATCAGAGTACCTTTTTTTTCCACTCATTGTTAGCAGCTCTCGTTTTGCAAGGACATATCGTAGTTGAAGAACGAGATAATTTAATTACATGGTTCTTCGTACCTCCATTGGTGAAGTAGTCAACACATTGTGTCTGACCGTGTGAGATGACCCTTCTCATCACTAAATGAAGCAAAACTGTTAGTTATAGTAATTAGTGACACGTCCTATTGATGATAGTTTCATGGACTTTATAAGTGGATATCATAAGCATCAATTTCATGACACAAATAGAATGTTGTAGAACTTGCATACATAGGTGCAATTATATGAATATCGTATTGGCTAACAATGTCTGTAGCCAAAACAAACACACACATAGAATCATAATATTCATACAAAATCGGTTCCATATACATTACTGAGGTCATAAATTTTGGTGGGCTAGTTTTTTATCTAACCAAAAACAAAATGTGGACGTTCTTTATATTGTAGTGCAATGGGTCTGAACCGTGTATTTTATTATGGGGCTGACATGTGTAAATGTTTTGAAACCTCGATTGAATTCATTGTTGGTAGTCTGATGCATTTTTCTTGTCACAAGCCATTTGGTGAGATGGTACGAAGGTGGCATAGTTATATAATTAACCTATGAAAGAGAGCAGGTGAATTTACATGGTTTATTGGTCATGTTAAGAGCCAAAGGCGTCAATGGTATACTATACTATAGTTGTATTAGTTGAAATAAGCCCC